CTCGGGCCCTGGCTCCCGTCCGGCCTCACACCGGCAGGTGCTCCTGCTTCATTTCTTCTCAGGCCTTCTGCCATCCGCTGACCACCTGGTCGCCTTCTTGTTTTCTTGTTTCCCCTTTCCTGTCTCCCCTGCACTGTAGGACAGGGAGATTGGCCTGTGTGTTCACTGTACCCCAGGGGCCAGTATGCAGTCGGTCCTCAGTAAATACTTGGTGACCAGACAGATGTTGACGGGATGGGACAGAAGGGCTCTCCTTTGGGCAGGCCTCGGAGTGACTGGGCAGAGGGGCAGGGACAAGAGTTGTGCCCCCATGTAGCCTGAGGCCATTGGATGAGGCTGGGTGAGGGGGTCGAGGCCAGGTCTGAGCGAGAGCCTGGTGGCTGCCTCTCCTCCCCACGCCTGTGCAGGCCACGACTGCTCCCTGCGTCTGTGGAGCCTGGACAACAAGACGTGTGTGCAGGAGATCACGGCCCACCGCAAGAAGCATGAGGAGGCCATCCACGCTGTCGCCTGCCACCCCAGCAAGGCCCTCATCGCCAGCGCCGGCGCGGATGCCCTGGCCAAGGTCTTCGTATGATGCCCACCCGGCCCCGCCCCAGCCGCCACGCTGGCTGGGGTGTGGGGCTGGGCAGGCGGGGCTGAGGTGAGGGGCTGGGGGCCGCGTGTGTCCTGGACGGGAGGGCAGAAACCCCTGTGTTCTCACCGCCTGCCTGGCACTTCCAGGTTGTGCCAAGTTCCACCGTCCCGTCGGTGGTGCCTGTGATAATCGCTGAGGCCGCCCCTGGGCATGCAGGGGAGGGGGCTGAGGCCTGAAGAGGTGCTTAGAGGTCGTGGTCCTGTCTCCCCTCCCTTCTGTTTCCGGCAGGTGACTCCCAGCCTCACTCTGGAGGCGCAGAGGCCCGGCCTCTTCCTGCCTGCTGTGGAGCCTGGTGGTGCTAATGGCCCTTTTCCCGGGACTCCCCTCCCCCGTGGCTCCCCTTGCCCAAGCGTCCCCCTGGGATGGGCCCCTTTCAGGAATTGCCCCGGGAGGATGGTCTCTGGAGTTTCCTCCCTGTGCCCTGACACCCACACTGGGCATCAGAGCTGCCTTCCAACGGGCAGCATAGCCAGGGCCACGTGTCTTTGGGATCTGGTTTTCCAAGACCTCAGAAGGTGCCAGTCTCCCTTGAGCTCCTGTGCCCTCCCTCCTGTTCCCAGACCTGGGTTGGGGCTGAGGCAGGAGGACTGTGGGAGCTGTGCCGGGAGGAATCCCAGATGCCCTCCCCTGGGTGGGCCGAGAGCCTCGGAGCTGAGCCTGGGCCAGCCCCTCCTGTCCGTCCCTGCCACCGCCGCTGTCCAGACACTAACCAAGGCCCCAGGCCAGCACCTGCCCAGCACTCCCAGGGCAACCCTCCCAGCCCCCTGTGGGGCCGCCCATGGGGAGAGACGGCTCTCGGCCCCTTCCTGGGTGTGGAGGGTGGAGTGGGTCCCCGGGTCCCCTTCACTCCCTGTATATCTGTATAAATACGGGATTTTAACGGCGCCCCCGCGTTATCACTGTGTGATAGTCTCGGTCCGTCTCCTGTCCTGGCCCTCCGCTCTTCCTCTATTTATTTCACTCTCTTTGTTGGTTCCACCCTGCGCCCTCGTCCCCCTCCCAGGTTCCTGTTTATAAGTCCCATGCCCTCTGCCCCGATCTTGTATGTGAAAACTTGTCTCAATAAACCCTTTGGATTAAGACGGGTGACCATCTGTTGCGGCGACACGGGGCTCGGGCTGGAGTGTGGGAGGGTAGGACAGGTTGGGTTCTGGCAGGCAGCGGGTCCCAGAGCTTGGGCGGGGCGGAAGTGGGGGCGCTGGACCGAGTCTCCTGGGGCCTTTCTTTCTGTCCCAAGCGCTCCCTCCCCGCAGAGCCCCGACAGCAGATGCTCTGCTGTGACAGTTCAGCTGAAGACTCCTCCCTGCAGTGGGGTGTGTGGTAGGTGACCAGCCAGGGGCTGGTACCCAGAGGACTTAACCCCCTTCCATCCCTGCCCTCCCCCCATATGGAGCCACAGGACCCGCCATGCCGGGAGCGTCCCTGGAGGGCGTGCTGTGGGTGTCCAAGCCCTCGTGGAGGTGCCCCATGAGTCCCTTTTCCTTCTCCATGGTCAGTGATGATGTGCTGTGACTGGGCCTCACAACCCCAGAAAGGGGACCGTTACCCGCATGCCACGGACGATGAGACGGGGGTGGCTTGTTGAAGACCCCAGCAGCTCTTCAGAATTTTGTCCCTTGTCTCGTCTTCCTGTTGGCAACGAGGCCTCTACCACCTACCAGCCAGGTGTCCTTGGACAGTGCCCAGCCTCTGGGTGTGACACTGACACCCAGCTCCTGGGTCCTGGGCTGCATCCCTGGTGCCCACCCCCGCAGGCCCCAGACAAACGTATAAAGGATGAGGGCCTGGGACACACACTCGGCACATGGTGGCATTGCACTGTGACAGTCATGTGCCCCTCTGAAAAAGGAGGGCAGGTGGGCAGAAGGGCTTGAGGTGACACTGGCAGGAGCCCACCGCTGCCCCACGTGGCCCCGCACCCCCCCATCTCTCTGGGCTCGAAGCAGTTCCCCAGGTGGTGGTTTGGGTTTTCGCTCCAGCCTCAGACTTCCTTCCCCAGCCCCAGCTCCCGGATGTGGTGACAGAATTGATACTGTACCGACCTCAGCTACCTCCAACAGCCCTGGAGCAGGAAGGGGGGGTCGCTCCTCGAAGCCCCCATCCACAGCCAGCCCAGCCGTGCCAGGATCAGGCCAGGCGGGTGGCCCCACAGGAGCGCAAACCTAGGCCTTGGCCCGTCAAGGGGGTGGGTGGGCAACTTCACTTGGTGATCTCGGATGAGTGGTTTTGCTTCTCCGAGGTCTCAGCATCCTACAGGTAAGCGAAATGGTCGCCACCCTTTGCTTATGAGCTGATGAGGAGAGATCAAGTCTGGGTTGTTCCTGAGACGGCTGGAGCTTCATGACAGGGATGCTTGCTGAGTGACTAACTGAATGAACATACCCACCCAAACACGCCTGAGTTCGGGTGGCGCCCACCCCCTCATCTCTCTGCAAACCATTAGTGACGGCCACCACTTGCTGATCAGAATTTCCTGTGTTCCAGGCACCCGTGTACCGTCCCACCAACTCCCACGGCCCCCTCTGGGGTCAGTCCTGTCACGGCTCCAGTTAGCAGGTGGGGAGACAGGGTCACAGAGGGGAAGCCACCCGCCTAAATACAGTCACACCGAAACACGAGGACCCAGGTCCAGGCCCTCAGGTCTCCATCCATGAAGTGGCGGCCTAGGTGTGTCGTCCCTTCCGGACACCCCTGGGCACTACCCTCCGGCCAAGGGGAGGAGACGACCCTCCCCATCAGTCCTGGTAGCTCCAGGCACCCTGCCCGAGGCCGCCCTGCCCATCTGGAGGCCTCAGTCTTCCCACCTGCGGAGTGGGCCGGGGATGCTCGGCCTGGGACGCGGCGGGGGCAGGGGCGACGCTCTGAGAAGAGGGAGACCAGCAGGGACCCGACACCCCCTCCCCACCTCTTGCCCTGCGGTGGGCGCCGGATGCCGGCGG